GGGTTTAGGTGTCAGGTATTTCAAGAGTGCTTTCAACCATCCTGGAGAAACCCTTCAAGCTAGAAACTGAAACCCTTCAAGGTAGAAATTATCAATCTCTTTTTCCATATAGGGGGAAAAAACAAAAAACCCAAGAAGTCAAATAACTTTCCCAAGGTCACTGGTCATCAACAAAGAACAGTCTTTTTCTTTTGCATGATAAGGCTTCTAGGTCCTTATCTTCCATGTGTGTGCTTGCAGAATTATGTGTGATGCATTTTAAAAATATACATTCCTAGGCAGACACACAGAATCAGAAAATGCAGGAGCAAGGCCCAGGAATACAGCTAAAATACTCCCAAGGTCCGTTGTGGCTGGCCTACAGCTATCATTCTACCTGGCGGCCCAGAAGGACAGCAGTCACCTTATACCTTGCTCCAGGGGTCCTAACCACTCTCCTCACTCTGACCTCTTCCTTCTTGACTCTGCAACCTGCCCACACTCCAGTCAAACTTCCTAACATGATGCTTCTATTGTGAACAAGGAAGCTTTGGAGCCTATCAAGCCTTTTACATTACACTATACACCACTAATCCCACTTCCTAAAAGCTGATAAATAAACCTTCCTATCTCTCTCCTCACCTGGCACCACTCAGGCTCAGGCTATCATCACTTCCTGGCTGGATTTCTGCAACAGCCTCCCTGGTCACCCTGACTCTAGTCTTGCTCCCTACAATCTGCTTTCTACCATGCCACCACAGTCATCTTTCATAAACACATGTGATCTCACTATCTGAAAAAAAATTTTTTTTCAAGAAAATTAATGTATGAAAATCTCCTGGGAACCATTTAAAAATTCCTGGCCCCTACCACATACTCACTGACTTCATCTTTGGGAGTGGAGCTTCAGATACCTGGATTTTTATAAGCTCCTCAAGTAAGCAGGATACCATGGCAGATTAGATTATTATTCAACAACCATTCATTCCCTCAGACATCTGTGAACATACAGTATATACAGTACTTGCCTGTACCAATATTAGGCTTAGTCCAGTGACTTGCTTTGGCCAATGGGCTGTGACAAGAGCAGGTGCTTAAAATGTGCCTGACTATATGCTAAGGAACTAGGTTAGAGAGCCTGAGTTCCTACTGGTTATTTTATTTTTGGTACTGGGGATCAAACTCAGGACCTTGCACTTTCGAGGCAGGCAGCGGCACCACTGAGCTAAATCCCCTGCCCACCACTGGTCATTTTAAATCCACAGAGCCACCTACGACAGGTGGCCACTAAACAAATGAGCAATTCCTGTGTTCTGCTTATCTACAAGAAGATCCGGATTGAGGGGTCATGTGGCTACCTACTCAGGACTCTTTCTGGAATCCAAGCTATTCTTCTCATTTCTTTTTTTTTTTTTTTTTTTTTTTTTGTACCGGGGATTGAACTCGGGTCCTTGCGCTTGCGAGGCAGGCGGCAGAACCACTAAGCTAAATCCCTGGCCCTATTCTTCTCATTTCTAATAAAAACTTTCTTAACTGAAAAAAAAAAGTGCTTGAGTGGCTGGACTTAGTAGCCAAGAAAAATGCCCCAGGAAACTTGTCTTTGGAAAACTGAGAGAGATCAAAGCAGACCTGAACCCAATCCGAGTTCTGGAGCCAAGCTCACTGGGAACCTAGCCTGGAACAATTACACCTCAGCTGGCCCACAGAAAGGAAGAATAAAGTTTAGAACTAGAAATCATCGAGTTTGGGGTAGTTGTTCATGCAATGTTGTTGTGGCCACAGGTGACTGATACAGATGCACAGTGTTCAGGTTTAATTCTAGAGGTCCCCCCAAAGCCTCATGGAATCACAGGCAGGGCCTTTGGAAGGTGACTGGATCATGAATGCGCTATACTCACTGGTGGATTCATTCACTGATAAATTTATAGTTCAATGTGGCATTAGAAAGTGGGGCCTAGGGCCAGGGATGTAGCTCAGTGGCACCACACCTGCCTGGCAAGTGCAAGGTTTGGAGTTCAATCCCCAGTAATAGAAAAGAAAGAAAGAAAGAAAGTGGGACCTGGTCAGAAGAGGTGGGTCACTGGAGGTGCAGTATATCTCCTCCCCGCCACCTCCCTTTGTTCTGTTTCCTGGATGCCATGATGTGAGCAGCTTTTCCTCTCCCATATGCCTCTGGCCTGCCTTGGAGCCAGCAGACTGACTGAAATGTGAGCCAAAACGAACCTCGCCACTCTTAAGCTGCAGGTGTCAGGTATTTTGTCCCAGAGCCAAGGACAGTGACTAAGGCAGATTTTGGTACCAGAGAGTGGGATCAGTGCCAGGAGTACATCTGATCACATGCTTCAGAATCCTTTGGAAAGGGTTCACAAGAAGAGTTTGGAAAGGTTTGGAGATGCTGGCTGAGAAGTAGATCTAGAATGTTGTAAACCAAGCTTGATGGGAGATTCTGGATGGAGTTCAGAAGACCAAAAAGGCCAGGCTCAGAAAGTTTCAGTTGTGGACAAGGCTCCATTGGCAACTGGATGCCAGACCATGTGTGTTATGCTCTGGCAGAAAATTTGTCTACATTTTGCTCATGTCCTGAGACTTTGTGGGAGACTGAGATTAAGGGTGGCAGACTAATGCATCTCGCAGGGGAAATTTCAAGGCAATCCAACATTGAGACAGTAGCATAAACACTGCCCACAGCTTCTAGTGATATATACTGTGAGAAACAGGAGCAAAAAGCCTGCTAAAAAGATTTCAGTTTTATCAGAAAGAAAATACCTGCAAAGATGAAGCAGAGGAGAGTTTGGATCCTAAAAAGATTAGCATTAAAAGAGGCCAAGTACTGTACTTTGGATCAGGACAATGGAAAAAAAAATAGCTTGCAGCATGGTAGAAATCAATAAGATTCCTCCCTCTGCAGGCTCAAGAGTGCAAGCCTGAAAGACTTTACTTTGAGAAGAGAGCCCCAGGGCACCTTACTAGTGAATGGCTAAGAGAACTGCCTAGGAAACTGGTTCCCAGGATTCAGCTTACCATGTTTAGCCATCCAGGTACTCAGAGGCCTCTGCAGCCATGATGCAAAAGGGCCCAGCTACTGCTCAAGTTGGCAACAGACCTTACCTTGGTGTCATCCATGTGGTGCTGGTTTTATAGGCATGTACCATCCAAGAGTTCTGGGGTCAGAAGAAGGCCTGAGAGCCCAGGCAGTGTACCCTTGAAAGGGTAGTCAATAAAGCTGTGAAAAATGAAACTGAAAGTACAATGAGACCCCAGAAAGTTGGAGAAGCCAGGAAAATGGAATGTCTGAGGAAAGGTGCAAGAAGCAAGCAAAGCCAGTCCAAGAGAGAAGCCAAGGGAGCTACAACCACCAGCAATGTGGTAGGGGAAGGGCCACCCAGGCCCTTTGGGGTTCACGTCTACTTACCACAACTTACCCCAAGTGTTATACATGGAGCCACGAGATTTAATGTTTGTCCTGCTGAGTTTTGATACTGCTTTGGTCCCACTGTATTCTATCCCCACTTCTCCGTTTTTGAATGGGACAGTTTACTCTGTGCCACTGCATGTTAGGAGTGTTTAACCTTCTTTTTTATTTTTACAGGGGCTCACAGCTAACAGGAGGCTTTGGACTTGGACTTTTCAGCAATGCGGAAACTGTCAGAACCTTGGAAACTGTTAGGACTTTGGCAACTCTTAAAGGCAGACTAAGTGCATTTTACATAAAGATAAGTATATGAGTCTTTTGGGGTCCAGGGGCAGAATGATATAGTTAAAACCTAGATGTCTCTCTAAAGCCTCATGCAATCATAGGCAGGACTTTTGAGAGGTGACTGGATCATGAAGGTGCTATATTCATCAGGGGATTTTAGTCCATTGATGAATTTGTAGTTAAATGTGCTGTTAGGAGGTGGGACCTGATTAGAAAAGGTGGATCATTTGGGGCCGGGCCTGGGAGGATATATTTTCTTCTCTGACTCTTCTCTTCACTCTCTGCTTCCTGTCCATCATGAGGTAAGCAGTTTTTCATCCGCCATGCACCTCTGCCATGCTATCCTGTGTTGTAGCCAGGCAACTATGCAACGAGCTAAAATAAACCTTTCCTTCCTTAATCTGCAGGTGTCATACATTTTTCCCAGCAATGAGGAAAGTGACTATGACACATACACACAGACAATGTGGGATCCTTTGGATATGTTAAAGTTCAAACACCTCAACCTGAAATATAAGACCTGCTATGGTCTAGCCAGTCTGTCTTCTCTACTCATCACGTAGTCTCCTCCTAGGTTCAGGCCCTACTAATCTAAGTGAACAACCTTCTTTTATATCCCACATGTACCTTTGTACATGCTGTTCTATGTTTCCTCTTGTCTCTCACTCTTGTACTCCAAGAGCTCTTTTAAAACTTGCTCAAGTTCCACTACTCAGCTGAGAAGCACTCACTTCTTAACAACCACAAAACCAGAGAGTAGAGCATAAGCAAATGAGCTCTTAGTTCTACCACTTATGACAGTGTGACACGGGCAAGTTATTGACCTTCTTTCAACCTCATTGTCCTCCCTATCTCACAGTTTGTTTTGTTTGGGAAGTGTGAGGGATCAAACCAAGAGCCTTATATAAGCTAGAAGAGCATTCTACCACTGAGATACACCCCCATACCTACCTCATAGTTTTATTTTTCTTTTTTGGTACTGGGGATCGAACTCAGGTCCTTGTGCTTTCGAAGCAGGTGGCGGCACCACTGAGCTAAATCCCTGGCTACCACATAGTTTTTAACCACTGGATTGATGAGAATGAATGAAGTAATGTAGTGTTTAGCACAGTCTGGCACACAAGAAAAGGTAAATAGTATCCTATCCTCTTTTACAGATTCCTCCTCGGAATAGCATGTAGCTAGACCCAGAATACAGTTAGTCAATAGTGATCATGTGAATAAAAACATTAGTTTAAATTTAGTTTAACTGTTTACACTTCGGATATAAACAAATGATCCTTTGGGTCAGATACATAAGCACTACATTTGTTGGCAATAATACCTGTTTCTCTATGAGTCTAATGGTATCCTCTGAAGTCTTGCCCTTTGACTTCTTCAGCTTATTCACTGCATCAGTGCGAACCCTTCGTAAAGAGTCTTTGGCCTTGTTGGTGTTTTGTTTGGCCAATTTCACCAGCATCTCCCTGTGCTCCCTGGTTACTCTAATAAAAGATGAAAAAAAAATTCAACATAATCATTCTATACATTAACCTCTACACAAGAACTTCAGCCTACTCTGTTCACTAGCTCAGCAATTTGTAACCTTACTCTGTCAGCTGAAGAGCTTCATGTTCCTGACACATTCATGCCCATGGACATGTTAAGAGTCAAATACCATTCCTGGAGAATCAGCTGAGGAAAGCTGGTAAGAGTCCTGCTTTATTTTTTTATTTTTTATTTTTGGCCAACCAGAGAAAATATATATTACTTTATTTTTTTAAATTAATTTTATTGATACATTTTAGGTATACAATATAATGACATTCATAATTGGAAATTTGCACCTTTACACAATCTCTCTTGGTTCTTATTTTTCCCCACACCCCTCCCCTCCCTTCAACCCCGCCATCCCTCCCTATTTACAAAGACTTTGTTTCCATTTTTTCATTTTCTCATATTAACTCCATTCCCTTCTTTCCTTTCCCCTACCCCTCCCACTTCCCCTTCCTCCCTATTCTTCCTATTTCACATTATCTATTATACCTTTTAGTCCTTATTTACACTTGCAGTTTCTCACACTAAAGAAACTATTCCATATTTACACGTGTGTCCTATTTATTTCACTTAACAGTACTGCCTCAATATGCATCCATTTAACTACAAATGTCTCTAATTTCTCATTTTTTATGGCTGAGTAGTACTCCATTTTAGTAAAAAAACCACATTTTCTTTATCCAGTCTCCAGTTGATGGGCATTTGGGCTGCTTCCAAGTTTTAACTATTACAAACTGTGCTGCTATGAACATGGGTGCACACATATCACTGTGGTAGGATTCTTTTAATTCTTTGGGGAAGATACCCAGCACGGGAACAGCGGGGTCAAATGGGACTTTCAGTCCTAGTTCTTTGAGGTATCTCCATACTGATTTCCACAGTGGTTGCACCAGTCTACACTCCTACCAGCAGTAGAGCAGTGTTCCCCTTTCCCCAAAGACCTGCCAGCATTTGTGATTGGTTGATTTCATGATAGCAGCCATTTCTTCTGGGGTGAGGAGGAATCTCAGCATTGTTTTCATTTGCATCTCTCAAATGACCAGTGATATTGGACATTTTTTCATGTTTCTCTGCTATTTCTACTTCTTTGTCTGAGAAATGTGTGCTCCTTTCAGATGCCAATTTTTGGATTGGGTCTTCAATTTTGGGAGGTCTGATTTTTTAAACTTTTATAGATTCAAGATAGTAGACCTCTGTCTGAGGAACAGCTGGTAAAAATTTTTGCCCACATTGTCGGCTGTCTCTTCACACTGTTGGTGGTTTCTCTTGCTGCGCAGAAGCTTTTTAACAAGGAGAGATCCCACCTGTTGATTGTTTGTGCCAGTTCATGGGCAAATGAGGTTTTGTTCATAAAATCTTTTCCTATATCAATGTCTTCAAGAGTTCTACCTAACTTCTGTTCCAGGTGGTTCAGCGTTTGTTTTAATATTTAGATCTTTAGCCCATTTTTATTTTAGATGAGTGCATGGTGAGAGATATAGGTCTAGTTTAAATCTTTGGCAAGTTGAAACCCAATTTTTCTAGCACCATTTATTAAAGAAGCTATCTTTCCTCCAGTGATGGTGTTTGGCTCCTTTGTCGAAGATGAGATGGCTGAGTGTGTCTGGAATTGTTTTTGCATCTTCTAATCTGTTCCACTGGACCTCAGGTGTTTCTTTGCCAGTACCATGCTGTTTTTATCACAGTAGCTTTGTAGTAGAGTTTCAAGTTGGGGGTTGTAACACCCCCTGCCATGTCTCTGTTACCTAGAATTGCTTTTGCTATTCCAGGTCTCTTCTTGTTCCAAATGAACGTTTGGATTGTTTTCTCAAGGTCCATGAAGTATGCTGCTGGGATCTCAACTGGGATTGCACTGAATGTATGTAGAAGTTTCGGAAGTATGGCCATTTTCACAATGTTGATTCTTCGTACCCAGGAGCAAGGGATGTCTTTCCATTTTCTGATATCATCTTCAATCTCTTTTTTCAGAGTGTTATAGTTTCCAGAAGAGGTCTCTGATTTCTGTTAGGTTAATTCCTAGGTATTTCAGCTTTATGGATGCTATTGTGAAAGGAACTGTTTGCCCTATTGCTCTCTCAGTGAGTCTGTTGTTTGTGTAGAGGAAAGCTATGATTTTTATGTGTTGACGTTTCCAGCTACTTTACTGAATTTGGTTATTAAGTCAGGAAGACTTTTGGTGGAGTTCTTGGGGTCTTTTATATAGAGTATCATGTCACCTGCAAATAATGACAATTTGACTTCTTCGTTTCCTATCTTTATTCTTTCTCTTTCTCTTGTCTAATTGATGTGGCTAATGTTTCCAAAACTATGTTGAACAGGAGTGGTGATAGTGGACATCCTTGTCTTGTTCCTGATTTTAGTGTGAAGGATTTCAGTTTGTGACCATTTAGTAT